AAAAAAAAAAAAAAAAAAAAAAAAAGCTGAGTGCAGTGGCTCACACTTGTAATTGCAGCACTTTGGGAGGCAGATCACTTGACGTCAGGAGTTCAAGACCAACCTGGCCAACATGGTGAAACCCTGTCTCTACTAAAAATACAAAATAAATTAGTCAGGCATGGTGGTGCGTGCCTGTAATCCCAGCTACTCAGGAGGCTGAGGCAGGAGAATGGCTTGAACTCAGGAGGTGGAGGTTGCAGTGAGCCAAGATGGTGCCATTGCACTCCACCCTGGGCAACAAGTGAGACTGTCTCAAAAAAAGAAAATTAAAATTTTGGGAAACTTGTAGCCACCACGAGCGTAATAGCTTCTCACAATTAAAGACTCTTCTGATGAGATTCCTGGTGATAGTAACAAACGATTTTTTAAAATATTGAATATTGCAATCTGTCAACATTTTGAAGATCTGTATAACTCAGTGAACCAATAATTTTCAAGTGACTATGGTAATGATGTCACAAAATCATGCAAGAGTACACAATCCATTTGGAGTATAAGACAGAACAACGGATTAAAAAAAAAAATTCTTATTTTGGAATAATTTTAGACTTACAGAAAAGTTGCAAAGAGTACAGAGAGTTCCTATAAACCCTTTACCCGGTCTCCCCCATTGTTAACATCTTACACTACCATGATATATTTGTCAAAACTAAAATTGACATTGGTACATTACTATTAAGTAAACTCCAGGCTTTATTTGGATTTCGCTGATTATTTCTATAACATCCTCTTTGTTTTGTTGTCTGGTTCAAGGCACCACACCACATTTAGTTGTCATGTCTCTTTAGTCTCCTCTGGTCTGTGACAGTTTTTTGGTCTTTGCTTTTTATGACACTGACAACATTGAAGGGTACTGGTCAGGCCTCCTGCAGAATATCCTCCGATTTGAGCTTGTCTGATGTTTTACCCGTGAGTAGACTGGGTTATAGGTTTTCTAGTTACATCACATCAGTGGTTATATGTCATCACTGCTGACGTTCACCTTTTTCATCATTTGGTTAAGGTTGTGTTTCCCAGGTTTCTCCATTGGAAAGTTACTCATTTTTCCCTTTCCTTAATTCTATTATTTGAAAACAAGTTGCTAAGTCTAGCCTACCCATTCAAGGATGAGAGTTAAGCTCTACTTCCTGGAATAGGGAGGTATCTACATATATTATTTGGAAGGGGGAGTACCTACATATATTATTCAATATTCTTCTGTAAAGAAGATTTCAGTCCAAACAAAGTTAATGTAAGAGTCCAAATGTCCACTGGTATGGTTTCAGATTCTACATTGCAACTAACCTTTAAGAAATTACTACCTATGGAGTTCTGATGTAATATCAAAGGAGAATACCCATCACTGTCCAAAAAAGCTGATACTCCTCCCTTTTCCAAATACGTACCTGTGTGAGGCCAGATTCTCCTGACACACTTCAACTAACACAGTATACCACACAGACTGAATGCAAAAGACTGAACCCAGCTGCCTTCCCTTTAGCTTGATTAGACGTGCAAAAAGTAAAACAATGGCACTCTTCTACCATTTGCTTTAGAAAATATTTTTATTAAAAACACTATATTAGCATGCAATGGATTACTGTCCTTTAAATCAACCAATGTTTTGAAGGTCTCCATTTTAATTCAAATATATTAATATCAAAAGATAGAAACCACATAAATAAAAGGATTCTGAATCATTTTTAAGAGTTTCAAGGGATCTGAGACTAAAAAAAGTTTAACCCATTTATGTCAGAGGTTGCAAGTTTTTGTGAAAAATCAGACCTTGGTGATGATCTTGAGCAGTAGAATATAAATAACCCCCACAAGCTTAGCATTCCAATAATGGAACACTAGGCATAAATAGATTAAAGACTGCTGCTTTTGGGGATGGATCACTTGAGACCAGGATGGCAAGGGAAGAACATGAGTTGAACAGTTCTGGATTTGAACTCCAGCAGGCCACTCATTAGCCATTACTAGCAGAAGACCATGAGCAAACCTAACTTTTCTGAGTTTCAGTCTCCTTATCTCTAAAGCCAGCCTCATAATTGCTACTGCAATAGAGTTGTTGTGAAGATCAGAGATAATGCTGGTACCCAGCAAAGACACTGCCTGGAATCCACTGGGTGATCACTAAGTGGTAACGCTCGTTATTTTATTAATGTTTTTCCTAAATTCTAAGGCACCATCAACTTATTACCAGCTTAGAGGGAAAAAACCCCACTATATTATTAAATGTACACAGTGATTAGAAGATGCACCTCAGGCAGGGCACAACGGCTCACACCTGTAATCCCAGCATTTTGGGAAGCCAAGGCAGGAGGATCGCTTGAGGCCAGGAGTTTGGGACCAGCCTGGGCAACATAGTAAGAACTCATCTCTATAAAAAAAATAAAAGTAAAAAAGACACATTTCAATCTCAAAGATCTTTGAAAATAGTAAGAGCATCTCTCAAACAACAATATTGGTTTTCCCAATCCAAAGCATGCGAAGTATCTAAAACATATCCATAAATGAAGCAAAATAGGCATAATGTGGAAACTTCATAATCAGCTAATTTTTGTATAACTTCTGTTTAATGACAGAGTGTTTTCTTGGTGGTGGGGGTGCAAGAGCTTTAAATAAAGTTTAGTTAACACTTTAAGTTGGGTAAGTTCGCCCAGATACAACCAGCCACATTAAAAATATTCTGAGGGCTGCATCTGATCAAGTTCCCAGCACTTACGCAGACGCTGGCTCTGCTCTTGCGGATCTGTTGGCCCTTTCTTAACTTGGCAGTCTAAGTCAGCTTCTGCTCTGCCTCAGACCCCCTTCTAGGCAGCCGTGTCTACAAGCCTAGAAGTTTAGATTGTTAGACAATTAGGCGTCCTAAAATTTTCATCCCTAGCATGCTCACGCTCAAAGAATGAAAATATTTTGAGCAGAGGAGACAAGGAGGGAAACTTATCAGCAATGGATATAAACACAGCATCAGGTCAAGTCAATTCTCATCTCGTCCAGTTGGTCCAGTAGGTTTCTCACATCTGCTTTCCCAAGGACCCAACATAAGCAGTTAAAAATTCTTGGTGAATGCTGTCTGTCGAAAGTTAAATTCTTTTGCTATTCCCAGCTTGTGATCATTTAAAAGGAATTTTCCAAAGCAAGGTCTAATATTAGACTCAAAATGAAGTTTCCATTCCA